TTAAAAGAAACATTTTTTTGCATCCAGTTTGCAGTCGGCTGGGCATTGTAATGAAAAAACTCAGCAACATCTTTTTGGCAACCTACACAGAATGCTAAAATAACATATTCCTGTCTCCAAGGGGAAGCGTGTGTGTGTCCCTCCTAATTAGCTGAACAGTCATAATATAGACCTTTTAGAGCAGTGGTTCTCAACCTTTCTAACGCCGCGACCCCTTAATACAGTTCCTCATATTGTGGTGACCCCCAACCATAAAATTATTTTCGTTGCTACTTCATAACTGTAATTTTGCAGTAGGAGGAATAGTGCCACGTCATTGGTATCAGTGGGAGGAACAGTGCCCCGTCATTGGTATCAGTGGGAGGAATAGTGCCCCATCATTGGTGTCAGTGGGGGGAGGAATAGTGCCCCATCATTGGTATCAGTGGGAGGAATAGTGCCCCATCATTGGTATCAGTGGGAGGAATAGTGCCCCGTCATTGGTGTCAGTGGGAGGAATAGTGCCCCGTCATTGGTATCAGTGGGAGGAATAGTGCCCCATCATTGGTGTCAGTGGGAGGAATAGTGCCCCATCATTGGTATAAGTGGGAGGAGGAATAGTGCCCCATCCTTGGTGTCAGTGGGGGGAGGAATACTGCCCCATCCTTGGTGTCAGTGGGGGGAGGAATAGTGCCCCATCCTTGGTGTCAGTGGGGGGAGGAATAGTGCCCCATCCTTGGTGTCAGTGGGGGGAGGAATAGTGCCCCATCCTTGGTGTCAGTGGGGGGAGGAATAGTGCCCCATCCTTGGTGTCAGTGGGGGGAGGAATACTGCCCCATCCTTGGTGTCAGTGGGGGGAGGAATTGTGCCCCATCCTTGCTGTTGGGGGGAGGTGTGCCCCAGTTGGTGTCAGTGGGGGAGGAATCGTGCCCCATCGTTGGTGTCATTTGGGGGGAGGAATCGTGCCTCATCGTTGGTGTCAGTGGGGGGAATAGTGTCCCATCGTTGGTGTCAGTGGGAGGAATAGTGTCCCATCGTTGGTGTCAGTGGGAGGAATAGTGCCCCATCGTTGGTGTCAGTGGGAGGAATAGTGTCCCATCGTTGGTGTCAGTGGGAGGAATAGTGCCCCATCATTGGTGTCAGTGGGAGGAATAGTGCCCCATCATTGGTGTCAGTGGGAGGAATCGTGTCCCATCGTTGGTGTCAGTGGGAGGAATAGTGCCCCATCATTGGTGTCAGTGGGAGGAATAGTGCCCCATCATTGGTATCAGTGGAGGAATAGTGTCCCATCGTTGGTGTCAGTGGGAGGAATAGTGCCCCATCATTGGTGTCAGTGGGAGGAATAGTGTCGCATCATTGGTGTCAGTGGGAGGAATAGTGTCCCATCATTGGTGTCAGTGGGAGGAATAGTGTCCCATCATTGGTGTCAGTGGGAGGAATAGTGCCCCATCATTGGTGTCAGTGGGAGGAATAGTGCCCCATCATTGGTATTAGTGACACCAATGATGGGGCACTATTCCCACTGACACCAATGATACTTACCTTGCAGACCCCTGCTCCAGCCTGGGCTCGCTCGCTCCCTCCCTCTCCCATGGTACCAACACTTACCTGTCAGATGTCTTCCTTCTCCGGCCGCTCTCCTCCTCTTCACCCGCTCGATCTTCGCGGTGCCGCTCGGCTCCTCCTCTCCAAGCTCCACCTCTTTGCCGGTGATTGGCCGCCTGTGTGCCTCTCCTGAGCTACAGTGCCGGCGGCCAATCACAGGCGAGGATTGATCTCGAGGTGTGTCCAGATGACAGGGGCGGCATGTCATCCCGCCCACACCTGGAGACGGCGGTGGCGGCGGCGGCGAGGAGCGGTGTCTCGGTTCCTAAGACCATCGGAAATATGTGTTTTCCGATGGTCTTAGGCGACCCCTGTGGAAGCGTCGTTCGACCCCCAAAGGGGTCGCGACCCCTAGGTTGAGAACCGCTGTTTTAGAGGAAAGATGGTTTCCACAAAGCTTACCAACTTTTGGCTGCAAGTGCTAAGTATGAACAATTAGGAGCAAACCTCAGAACCAGGTGAATTCAAAATCATCTCTGAAGACATTGAAAAAGAAGCAACAGAGCCCAAAGCCAGTAAAAGTTTCTTTTAAGATTTTTTTATGTCCATGCAGTTCTGATATTTGCACAACACTGCAGCACAGCACATGCCTATCTGTTAGGGCAGGAGATCTAATTTTGGTCTCTGCTGCCATTAGGTAAAACTTATAAGTCTTGTCCCTCCCCAACTGTAATCTGTAGATAGTCCGGTAGGCTGAAAACTCCAAAAGTTGTTTGCAAGGTCACCCTCCTATAGTTTGTGTCAATGGTCCTGCCTACAATGAAGTCAAATTTCCTCTTTTTTACAAGAGTAATTCTGGGTTTTCACCTCCCTTTGTTACAGTCTCCATAATATGAAATACAGTCAAACTCCAGCAGAAAGATTAGAACTTCTGTGCTAGTTGTGCAGAGCTGAGAATTCAAGGGCAATGATCACTACATCGAAGTTCCCACATGATATACCATGAGATGGTTTTAACTCTACAGTAATGAAAAATTAAATTCAGTTTTGAATGGAATGACTATCTAAAGAAAATGGCAGTTAGATGCAAATCCATTTATTTGTACTTTTTCTGCCAACTTGATATTTTCACTTCGTTTCTTCTGTGTTATTTTCATGATATATATTACTTTTTTTCTCTGCTTTTTAGCAGAAACTAATCATCTGAAAGCTAGAACTGCTTGACCTACAGATGAAAGAATTGTCCTCCAAGCTTGACTTCAAAACATTCTTTGAACAAGACAGTTACAATCTTTTAAAAAAAGAATATCATTAGTTTTACACAATAAATGCTATAACAAAACTAGAAAAGTACAAAAAGGCAAAGGCAAGAAGAGAAAATATGATTGAAAAGAAACTGAAGGTTGCAATATTCTTGTTCTTCAAAGGTCATGCAGCAGTTAAGAGGTTAATGAGTCCAGCTCCCATAGTTGGAACAAACAGGACCTCTTATCCTTTGGCAGCAGCTTAGAATGACTTTATATTTCTGGCAGAGGAGCTGGTATGCTCTGGGATAATTAGATAACCGGCAGGACTGTGTGAAGCTTCTGATCGGGATACTGTTAAATTCTAAGGCCCGCTGGCTCTGGGAAATGAAATTAATTATGTTTATTTAAAGGAGTCATTTAATTCATTTCTTCTTATTTTTTCTTCACTCAATTGAGTTTTACATGTAGCTTCTCCATCTATCCATTTAATAAATTTGAGAGATTTTGTTGAGTCAGTGGTGTGTAGTTTTCAAATACAAGAGGTAGGCCATCTGCCAGAAACTGGTAAAAAAAAAAAATGGAATGGAAGTGAGGATTCCTAGATGTCTGGTGCAGTCCATTGACATAAATTCTTCTATATTGGGCGACAATCATCTTATGTTGCCACCTTTAGAAGCAATGGATTACAACACTACTAAAGAGACAGCAGATGCAACTTATATAAAGAGCAAATATGGCTGCCACATGGCAAGTCTTCAAGCTGGTCACATGGCTTGCAGGGTCCGCTTCTTATGATTTTTCTCCCAGCTCTTCCCAGATTTATTTCCCAACATCATCACATCAGCACCACACACTGCATAATTAAAGAGTAGCCTCTCTCCCCCCCCCTGACGTTGCTGACTTTTAACCTCTTTAAGTCCGCCCTATAGCAGTAATACTGCTACAGGGAGGACTCTCTGCGCAATATCACACACACGTGTGTGTGTGTGTTTGTGTGTGTGTGTGTCGTGCTCTTGACGTTAACACTGATCAGAGGCTCACACACATACACACAGACCCGGCTGTGCCAAGTTTCGGTGCCCGACAGATCAATCAGCAGATTCAGGCCACTGATGTTTCTCAAAACAGAATACCTGTCACTGCCTATTGCAGTCACAGGGGATATTTACATTCCCTGTGATAACAATAAACATGGACCCCGTGCCAGTATATAAACAGCAGTTGCACCATGCATGTGAGGTATCGCTGTGAATGTCAGATCGACGGCAGTAACTCTTGCACTAGACCTTCTCTGTAAATCTAAAATGGTAGCCTGTAAAGGCTTTTAAAGCGTCACCTCACACCATGTGTGAGCAAAATTTCTTAAAAAAAAATTAAATAAAATGTTTTTGTCATTTTGCAAAAACTTGTGGAAAAAAATAAATTTTCCATGGAGTCAACATGCCTCTCAGCAGATAGCTTAGGGTGTCTACTTTCCAAAAAGGGGTAATTTGGGGGCGTTTGTACTGCACTGGCATTTTAGCACCTCAAGAAATGTGATAGGCAGTCAGAGTAAAAGCTGTGTAAATTCCATTATCTATATCATAGTTTGTAGACGCTATAACTTTCAAACAAATCAATTAATATGTAGTTATTGGGATTTTTACCAAAGACATGTAGCAAAATACATTTTGGCCTAAATTTATGAGGAAATTTGAGTTTTTTGGATATCTTGTATGACAGAAATGGGAAAATATCTTTTTTTTTTTCAAAAGTTTTGGTCTTTTCTTGTTTATAGCGCAAAAAACACCCCAGAGGTGATAATTTTTTTGTGACAGGTAGAGATTTATTTTGGTGGTATTTAATCACCTCTGGGTTTTTTTTTTTCTTAAACCAAAAAACACTGAAAATTTTGAAAAAAAAAGTTTTTTCTTAGTTTTTGTTATAAAATTTTGTAAATAAGTGATTTTTATCCTTTACTGATGTGCGCTAATGAGGCTGCAGTGATGGGCACTGATAGGCTGCACTGATGGACACTAATAGGTGGCACTGCTGGGCACTGATGAGGAGGCACTGGTAGGTGGCACTGATGGGCATTGACAGGCATCACTGATGGGCACTGAAAGGCAGCACTCATATATGGCACTGATAGGCGGCACTGACTGGCACTGATAGGCGACACTGACTGGCACTGATAGGTGGCACTGATAGGCGACACTGACTGGCACTGATAGGTGGAACTGATAGGCAGCACTGACGGGCACTGATGCACACTGACTGGCACTGATAGGTGGCACTGACTGGCATTGATAGGTGGCACTGACTGGCACTGATGGGTGACACTGAAAGGCAGCTCAGATGGGCACTGCTATGTGGCATTGATGTGGCACTGAAATGTGGCACTGATGAGCACTGGCAGGTGGCATGGATGAGCACTGAGAGCTGGCACTGATGGACACTGACCGGTGGCACTGCTGGGGCTACATAGATCATCAGGGCACACTGGTCATTAGTACTCTGATGATCTGTGTACATGTCCCCTCTGAGGAATGCCGATTACCGGCTCTCCTCTCCTCACGAGCTGTCAGCGTGACAGCTTGTGGGGAGAGAAATGCCAAAAACCGGCATTTCCCTATTTACATGTGATCAGCTGTGATTGGACACAACTGAGCACAAGATCGAGCCGACATCTTCGGCTCTTTCCATGGGCCGGTGATCCGCTGTGTCCGAGGGACACAGCGAACCACCGATCGCCACACTGCGCTCTCTAGGAGCCGCGCATGCGCAGTTAGAATGAGAGGACGTCATATGACGTCCTCCCAGAATGGGGAGAACCGCCTTGCGCCCGTCATATTACTATATGGCGGGCGGCGGGTTAAACTAGCGCAGTGCTATATAGCAAATAATGGTGTGAATTCCAATATCTATACCATAGTTTGTAGACACTATAACTTTCACACAAACCAATTAATATGCAGTTATTGGGATTTTTTTTTTTTACCAAAGACATGTAGCAAAATACATCGTGGCCTACATTTATGATGAAATTTTAGTTTATTGAATGTTTTTATGACAGAAATGAGAAAATACAGTATATATATTTTTTTAAACTTTTTGTTCTTTCTTTGTTTATAGTGCAAAAAAAAAAAAAAAAAGAGGTGATCAAATACCACCAAAAGAAAGCTCTATTTCTGTGAACAAAGGACATAAAATTCATTTATGTACTGTATTGCATGACTGCACAATTGTCAGCTAAACTAGCGCAGCGCTGTATAGCAAAAAAAATGGTGTAAATTGCAGTATCTATACTAGAGATGAGCGAATCGAACATGACGAAGTGGAATTCGTTTCGAAGTTTAGGAAATATTCGATTCGCGCCGAATCCGAAAATTAGCAAACTTCGGATGCACGAATCAAATTTTCCCAAAAATGGCGGCGACATGTGTGGCGATGGAGCGGGGATCTCTGGGAAGGCGCGCAGACAAGGCGCGCTGACCCATAATGCATTCATTCATGACATGTGATCGCATTAGCCAATCAGCAGCCAGCCAGCCAGCACTGTGTAATGGTGGAGCTATTAAATCGCGGCCATCTTAGAATTCTCCATTAGCCTCCGGTCATTCAAGAGAGACAGACCTCTGTGTATTAGGGACAGAGTTAGGGCCACAGAGACTTTAGGGCCACAGAATCGTTACTTAGGGACACAGAATCGTTACTTAGGGACACAGAATCGTTACTCAGGGACACAGAATTGTTACTCAGGGACACAGAATTGTTACTCAGGGACACAGAATCGTAACTCAGGGACAGACACAGAATTGTTACTCAGGACACAGAATTGTTACTGAGGGACACAGAATCGTTACTCAGGGACACAGAATTGTTACTCAGGGACACAGAATCGTTACTCAGGGACACAGATTTGTTACTCAGGGACACAGAATTGTTACTCAGGGACAGACACAGAATTGGTACTCAGGGACACAGAATTGTTACTCAGGGACACAGAATTGTTACTGAGGGACAAAGAATCGTTACTCAGGGACACAGAATTGTTACTCAGGGACACAGAATTGTTACTCAGGGACACAGAATTGTTACTCAGGGACAGACACAGAATTGTTACTCAGGGACAACAGAATTGTTACTCAGGGACACAGAATCGTTACTGTAGGGGACACAGAATCGTTACTCATGGAGGGACACAGAATCGTTACTCAGGGACACAGAATCGTTACTGAGGGACACAGAATCGTTACTCAGGGACACAGAATCGTTACTCAGGGACACAGAGAATCGTTACTCAGGGACACAGAATTGTTACTGAGAGGACACAGAATCGTTACTGAGGGACACAGAATTGTTACTCAGGGACACAGAATCGTTACTCAGGGACACAGAATTGTTACTCAGGGACACAGAATTGTTACTCAGGGACAGACACAGAATTGTTACTCAGGGACACAGAATTGTTACTGAGGGACACAGAATCGTTACTGAGGGACACAGAATTGTTACTCAGGGACACAGAATTGTTACTCAGGGACAGACACAGAATTGTTACTCAGGGACACAGAATTGTTACTCAGGGACACAGAATTGTTACTGAGGGACACAGAATCGTTACTCAGGTACACAGAATTGTTACTCAGGGACAGACACAGAATTGTTACTCAGGGACACAGAATTGTTACTCAGGGACACAGAATTGTTACTGAGGGACACAGAATTGTTACTCAGGGACACAGAATTGTTACTGAGGGACACAGAATCGTTACTCAGGGACACAGAATCGTTACTCAGGGACACAGAATTGTTACTCAGGGACACAGAATCGTTACAGGGACACAGAATCGTTACTCAGGGACACAGATTCGTTACTCAGGGACACAGAATTGTTACTCAGAGGGACACAGAATCGTTACTGAGGGACACAGAATCGTTACTGAGGGACACAGAATCGTTACTGAGGGACACAGAATTGTTACTCAGGGACACAGAATGTTACTCAGGGAACAGAATCGTTACTGAGGGACACAGAATCGTTACTCAGGGACACAGAATTGTTTACTCAGGGACACAGAATTGTTACTCAGGGACAGACACAGAATTGTTACTGAGGGACACAGAATGTTACTCAGGGACACAGAAATCGTTACTGAGGGACACAGAAATCGTTACTGAGGGACACAGAATTGTTACTCAGGGACACAGAATTGTTACTCAGGGACACAGAAATCGTTACTGAGGGTACACAGAATTGTTACTGAGGGACACAGAATTGTTACTCAGGGACACAGAATTGTTACTCAGGACACAGAAGGGACAGACACAGAGAATTGTTACTCAGGGACTCAGAATTGTTACTGAGGGACCACAGAATTGATTACTCAGGGACACAGAATTGTTACTCAGGGACACAGAATCGTTACTCAGGGACACAGAATTGTTACTCAGGGAACTGCAATTGTTACTCAGGGACACAGAATCGTTACTGAGGGACACTGAATCGTTACTCAGGGACACTTTCTAGGGACACAGAATTGTTACTAGGGACAAAACCCGAATTGTTACTCAGGGACACAGAATGTTACTCAGGGCAGAACCCGAATTGTTACTAGGGACACCCGAATTGTTACTCGGGACACAGAATTGTTACTAGGGGACACAGAATGTTACTAGGGACACAGAATTGTTACTAGGGACACAGAATTGTTACTCAGGGACACAGAATTGTTACTCAGGGACACAGAATGTTACTCAGGGACACAGAATTGTTACTCAGGGGGCACAGAATCGTTACTCGGGACACAGAATCGTTGAATTAAAGAGTATGTCAGACAACACGCAGAGGAGTGGCAGAGGAGGCATGTTTCAGGAGCGAGCAGACGTGGCAGAAGAGGAAGGGGTCGAGGCAGCATAGTCGCAGCCAGAGGCCAGTGCTCCCGGTGTCATCCAGCGGTCGTGTCTCCACCGACAACCTGCCGTCATCGATTGGTTGGCTCGGTCGTCTTCCTCTTCCCAGGTCACCTTGACACCTACAGCCAACGGTCGGTGGGTACCG